TTCGTCATAACTCTTTATGATCGAAACTCCCACCGATCATGGTAGATATCTAGCAATGCTCCATAAACATTAAGCCACAATGAAGTTAAACTCCAATAAACCTTTTTTCCAATCGTACATTATATGTAGTAAAATCTCTCTTTAATTTAATCCCGCTTAAGTATAGGTTCATGGTATGTCAAAATCCTTAACTTAATCTTTATCCAAATTGTCAATCAAAACAATGGAACGTGTCATCATGAAACTCCTTTTCTTATGACTATTTTGTACTCTAAACAAAGATTTCTTTTTTCCAATGTTTATTGACATTCATTTTGGGAACTCGAGACCAAACCATTTCGAGTCAATGGATCCCATCTTGACCATCACTTGTCCTCGCATGAATAATATATGACCAAACCAGTTCTTTACAAAAGACAGACTAGAGTCGGTATTACAATCATACGAATCATATGCATCCTATGTCGAGTCCAACCATAAGTCTCAGGTCTAAGGATTAGTGGTACACTAGTACGTTCCTACGATGTATCATTGACCACATTCTAAAGTTCATGTGATTCATTGTAATCAGTCATATTCGAATAAACAATTCACCACCTTTTATCCATGTAATGTCGTAGTGATATACCTCTTATGATCACCCACACTAATACCATCACATGATATTCAATGGAGGCATTCAACATCCTACTTTGCAATGTATTGCCCAATTAACATTACTTACGTGGGAGTGCTTCGATGGACTTGATCTATAAAGATTCGTATCATCCGGACATTTTCACATGCATTATAAATAGTATTCCATTCTCAAAAGAGTATTACAAGATATAATGTCAGAAATCGACAACATGATTGTTCCTAGGGCATACACTAACATCGGGGTCCCAAATCCAGGTAGGAACGGAATCAGCCTCACAGGATAGGTTTCGGTTCTAAAAAGTAGGAACCAGTACCCCCAGTTTCAGTTTTTCATTCTAGGAACCAAGAACTGGGAACTGGAACCCGAATGTAATAGGGGCACCCTGCGAGGAACCTGTAATAAGGTATCCTATAAGGAACGATAACAGGGTATCCTACAAGGAACCGGTAACAGGGTACCTTGCAAGGAACCAGAAAAAGAACCGGGGGGTTATACATAACTAGTATACAACATTGGGGGGGGGGGGGGGGGGGGGGTGGTGTTTATAAATTTTACCCCTAGACTATATACATAACTAGTGAACATTTTGGATTTGGATATGAAGAAGCTATGAATAATTTTAATATAAGTTACACATATATCCAAAGTAAGACTATATATTAAAATTATTGAAATATTGAAATTAATTAATAAGTAAAAAGTTATTGTTATAGAATATTTAAACAAATGAGGGTGATTTGTAAATTTTACAATTTTTTTTTATTTTTTTGTTATTTTGTAAAGTTATGGGACCAATGTAATTATCCAGGGTACCTGGAACCGGAAATCGGAACACAGGTTTCGGTTCCAGCGATTAAGGAATCGGAATCGGTGGGTTCAGGTTCTGGTTCCTAATTTTAGGAACCGACAAGTTTGGTTCCTCCAAAAATCCCGGGGTATCCGGACCCGATCATCCCTAATATAGTATTGCATTTTCTTAATTATTACATCTTGAAATTTATATTTCTCTAGTCGACATTAAAAATTAACTATATATAAGAACACACAAAATGATAATAATCAAAAAGTGTGAAGAGAAAGAAGGGATATATAAAATAGAATTCTATTCGGAATTTAAAGACATCATGATGTGATCTATTGACTTTATTTTGTTTTTTCATAATCCAGATACTACAATGAGACTTGAGGAAGTATTAGAGAAAGATTTGATGTAATAAAGAATATATGAGAAATTATATTAAATGACACTGTTTTGGGTAAGTTGAAAAGTGGCACTTTTTTAAAACTTCTCTCAATATATTATATATATATATATATATATATATATAATTTTACACAATTTGAAGGACAAAAATGCCCTCATATATAAATAAACCCTAGCCATTCATCCATCTTCTTCAAAGTTAGACTAATCCTTCCCTCATTGAAGAATTTGAAAACCAAAGCTTATAAACCGATTTTTAATTTGATTGTGTGTAAGAAACATGTTAATTTTATGTAGATAGGTGGTATTTGAATTAAAGAGGCTATCAGACGTGCCACCAATACCCTCGGATGTCTTCCAATAAGCATCTATAAGTTTCGTAAAAAAAAATCAAAAAAAAATCAAAATTTTCGATTTTCAACATCCCCATCTAAAAAATTAACCCAAACACTAACATTAACCCCCAATATATAAATATCCTTTGATTTGATAGGGATTGTAATTATGGAGAATGGGTGATGGGTTCTAAGGGTTGAAGATGAGTTTGGTTAAAGATTTAAGAATGTGTGAATAAGGGCATTTTCATCCGTAAAAATAGTGTATAATGTCATTTGCTACGTGTGAGAAATTTTTTCAAAAAAAGTACATTTCAATCCACCCCTAAAAATGGTAACATTTAATATAATTTCTCCAAATACAGATGTACAAAAATGTAGTTTGTGTAATGTAATAAAACAAAATCTATGCTAAAGAACTTAAATAATAAAATAATAATGCTAATATATATCGTAATAACCAAAAGGAGGTTTATCACAAGGATAGTTCCATAAATTTCTTCTTTGAATAGTCTTCCAATCAAACAAGTCCACCGTATTTTCATTTTCACCTTTTTTTTTTTTAAATATGCAGTGTTAGGTCATGCCTACTTATAAAACAGATATTAAAAATTATAATATTGCGTTTTGGTCAAGGTCTGCCCTCTTAATTCATTAGATACGAGAAAATCTCAAGTAGGGGAACCTATCCTCATTCCTTTTGGGTTTCTTTACGGTAAAAAATAGAAAATTTGCAGCCGTGTGAATTAAGTCTCTACAGACTAGAGCCACAGATATGTAAGAAGATTTGCAGAATAAAGAAACGAGTGGCTGCTTATGAGTCAACTTCTAAAACAAGACATCTTGGCAGACTAGACACGGTTGATTAAATAGATATTTCCTCTAAATTGTTCAAACTTGAACATATATAAATCGACAAAATTAAGTTCAAAATAATAATCATTGTCTGGATTTTTACGAACAAGTTAAAATCAAGACTGCAGTAAATAGAAGAATTATAAGGGTAGAAAATAAAAAAAATAAAAAAAAAGTTTTAATTAAGTAAATATGATTTTTGATGTATGATGTAGAAGATAAAATATAATTAAAAATTCAAACAGAAGAGAAGATCGCGAATGTGTTATAATCAGCAGATGCAAGTGATTAATGAAAGTTAATTAAGTTCATCTTGTTCTGTTACCTTTATGTACCTATGATTGATTCGGGTATAAATATTAAAGAAAGTGTACATCATATTTAAACAAATAAATGTTGTCCACTTGACTTTAATATTTAAGTCAGTCAAATGTATCTATAGTATGAAAACTTCCAAGTCTACCTTTCACACCGTGAAATAGACTTGTCTTAACAGCCATAATTGAATAGAGAGAATTTGGTGCATAAAACGAAACTAGTCATGCCCCATGACAAGCACATAAATGCTTCGTATATTGTCAGTGCAATCGACTCTTGCCTAAGTTATAATTAAGTGGCTCTCGATGAACAAATAAATGTTGTCCACTTGACTTTAATTTCTTAAGTCAGTCAAATGTATCTTAGTATGAAAACTTCCCAGTCTACCTTTCACATCGTGAATAGACATGTCTCTAACAGCCATAATTGAATAGAGATTTGGTTGCATAAAACGAAATAGTCATGCCCCATGACAAAACACTAAATGCTTCGTACATGTCAGTGCAATCGACTCTTGCCTAAGTTATAATTAAGTGGCTCTCGATGATATTTCATTGATGGCCCCAAAGGCCATTACTACAGGAAAAGCACATGATATTGCCGTCTTTTGTTTTGTAGTTGAAGACTTCGAGGTCTGTCATTTCTGTGACAAAACCATGAAATTGGTAGGGGCCGATCCTCTTCTCACTTCTTTACTGGTCTAAATTTCACAGGGTGAATTAACTTCTTCCGAAATTATCCGGTTATTTTCTACGTCATCACATCTTCAATTTTATATCATACTTTGGACTCAATAATTACTTTCTTTTTAATTTTGTCTCCATTTTTTTGTCAGGACTTTCCTATTACAAGAAAAATATTACATATTTTGTAATAAATGATTAAATTTTGTTTTATAAGAAGTTTGTAACAATGTGCATAAAACTTTTTTTATATATTATTAAATGAATAATACTAAATATACAAAGTCTTTATATAAACTCTTCCTTAAAACTTGATGTAATCAAAATGAATTGATGAATTTGTATTCAAAATCAATTCAATAAATACTAATTAATATAGACGGATAATATAACAATAAAAAATAGTATCACATCAATGTTTATAGAAAAAGTTTGGGTAGGTAGTTGGTACATTTAATACCATTCTTATTCAGTTATTGCAATATGTAACCGTAACCGGAAAAATTAGCTAAAATGACATATGTTTTGTACTTTGATATAACAAAATTTCAATTTAAAGTATATTTTGCTAGGCAACAAGATGTTTAATCTACATTTAGTTCATGTATCTTACAAGATAAAAAGGTTGTCTAGCCATTGTGGAGTCTGTCTTGTGTGTTTTATGCTTGCAAAAGGGCATGTTATTTGCGAGGAAAGTGTTTGTCTGTATAGTAGTTGACACATTGTCGATAATATGTACTTTTCCTTGTGATAATATTATAATCAAGAGAAGGCATGAATGATTTCTCATGGCAGGTAGAATTGTTTTACATTCCTTTTAAGCAACTGCTGAGAAACACAGGGCCAATCCCTGATCTAGCATAAACTAATTAAAAATAATCTCTATCTGGGCATACTATTATATAATATACGGTATATATAGTTTCACTTACCGAAGATAATCATTTATTCCTTCTTTTCTGGACAAAGGTGGTGCAGGGTTTCCATAGAACTCAGATATATCATATATGACAGTAAATAACTTTCACAAAACCAAGTTCATTTGTAATACATTACGATCTGAAAATGAAAGTGCAAATAAAAAACAATAACAAAATTAAAATGACTTATACATGAAACTACAGCTAAATCATTTTTAAAAATGTTCAAACTCTGACAGTGACAGTGTCTTATTGGATAACGAAGTCCATAGGAATAGATATAATCGTAAGATCATGCAGCAATAATCATCTCCCGTCGTCGAGCACTTCCAGTACGTGGTCTTTGAGGCTGTCGTACCCCGCAGTTGTGTTGCTACCATCACCATATTTATAAACATCTGAGTTATCATAGATCAAGCGCTCTGTCTCTTCAGGATTCAATTCGGCATTAACCCACGAATGTTTATGCATCATTCTTAATCCATCTAATTCCATTGCTACTTCCCTCATTGTAGGCCTCTCCTCCCCTTTCACGTTTAAGCATATTTTTGCTAGCTCTGCCACTTCCTTGAGCTGCTCTTCATTCCCATCGTTTACGATATGATTCTCAAGAATTTCAAACAAACAACTCTCTTTCAATGAAGTAACGAAATACTTAACCAAACTTCTCTGCTCCTCAGGCCTTTCAAACAAAAGTGCCTTCTTTCCTGTCAATAGCTCCGCAAGGACAACTCCGAAACTGTAGACATCACTTTTCTCGGTCAATTGGCTAGTATGCAAGTATTCCGGGTCTAAGTACCCAAGAGTGCCCTGCACCATTGTGGATAATTGAGTTTCATCTATTGGGACCAACTTTGAAGCTCCAAAATCAGACACTTTTGCTGTGAAGTTGTGATCTAAGAGTATATTGGTGGACTTGACATCTCTATGTATAATTGGAGTAGCAGCAGCCGAGTGCAAATAGGATAGCACTCCTGCAGTTTCTGCAGCTATTCTTAGACGATTTTCCCAAGAAATGGTGGGTGCCTTGTCTTTATTGTGGATGTGCTCAAAGAGTGTACCATTGTTGACAAATTCGTAAACTAGTAAAGGGACTTCAGTCTCTAAACAACAACCCAAAAGCCTGACCACATTTCTGTGGTTGATTTGTGAGAGCACAACCACCTCATTAACAAATTGCTCAGTTTGGCTTTTATCTATTATTTTGGACTTCTTTATGGCAACTGGTCTATTGTCTGCTAAAAATCCTTTATATACAGTGCCAAAGCCTCCCCGGCCAATGATTCTACTCTCATCATAGTTGTTGGTAGCGGTTTTGAGTTCTTCTGCAGCAAAGATTTTTGCTGTTTCAGAAGATGTACTTCGTTTGGAGAGTTGCTGCTGTAAAAGTAAACCACCATTTTGCTGAAAGAACTTTTGTTTAAGCTTCATGAGCTTTCTCCTCTTCAAAACCAAGTAGAGCCAAGAGCTACTCACAAGCAGAACCACAAAGAATATGCCAACACCTACACGTAATGCAATTTGAAACTAATTACTTGTTCACGCACAATTAAAAATTTAATATAGAGAAACGAATTGAAAAAAAAAAAAAAAAACAATTTTATATATGTTTATTTTTAAGTTTTGACAAGTTCTTATCCGTAATTATTATAATTCTCTGGTCTCTGTACTCTCCTCAAACCGAACAGAAGTAGCACAGAGTCCCAAGTTAAATCGCATATTCGCAAAACGATTACGACGCAGATAAACTGTAAAAAATGAATGAATATACTCACCAAGAGCGACCTTAATGACTGATAATTGATTAAGTGTACAACCGGTTCCATCTTTTCTTCCGTCACCATGGTACCCCTTTCTGCAACTGCAAGTGTAATTTCCCACTTGGTTTTCACATTTGTGTGTACAGTTATGGAGCCTTGAATCGTTGCATTCATCGATGTCTGGAAAAATCAATTGAAATACATTTAACAGAGTTATATACAGACGAACAGAGTGAAGTAATAGCTTAGAGAAAAGGTACTAAAACATTAATAAAAGTACCTTCGCAACCATTAGGGAGGTATGGGTTCCCTCCGTAACCAGGTTGGCACTGGCAACGATACCCGGGACTGCCATCTTCAGGAACAATACACTTGGCGTTTTCTTTACATGCGTAATTCATCGATGAGCTGCTTCCATTTTCACATTCGCCGTGGTCAGTCACTGTCCAATCAAGCACAGTATGAACTTCCTCTGTTATATTCCAAATATAACTGGAGGAGAAATTGAACTTGGTTTTTTCAACGACAAATGCAAAGGTGCATGGATTAAACTCCAATACACTTTCGTGTTTGTCAAAGCTATGGGCTGAGTAATTGATTTGTTTTAGCCCTTTTGGAATCTCTATTTGGCAACACCCAGTGCCGGCGCAAGTTCCGTTTTCGACATCGTCAAGTTTATCACAAAAGGACATACAGCCACTTGTGTACAGTCGATTACGGATGTACCCTTCAATGTAAGCGTAACTGTCACAGCCAATAACTGTGAACATGTTTTCGGTGCTGGAGATGGTGAATTCGGATAAAGAAAACATGCGGCGGGTGCTAATCGGATCAGACTCTCCCCCCTCACGGTAGCAGTCCCGTCCTGCAGTGCTCATGACATGCAACCTGCCGTCATTAATGCTTATGTTTGTCACAAGAATATTTGATTTCCGTAAAAATGGTTGTGGAGGATTAGATGATTTCTTGCAAGTGATAAAGAAATTATCATCAAGGAAACAACCAGTGGTTGTGCCAAACGGATATGGGATTACGACGTCTCCACAGCGATCCTCGCAGACAGTCTCGGCAATACGATGTGATACTAATGCTGCAGTAGCAGCTGCCGTTAGTAGCATATGCGGTAGCATGAGTTGGTAAGAAACTCCCATTTTGCACCGTACACGTGTATAAATATGTACTTCTCTTGTACAGATGGATGCCTAGCTACTCCTTTTATAGTCACTCCAGTCTCCAGAGGACTAATTCAACTGCCCAAAGTCCACCCTATGCTCCTTCTCCCTAGTTTCCGGTTAGTAACACAATTTTTTTTCTTTTGGGTACAGTCATCTCTTAATCTCCAAATAATCTTCAAACACATAGGCTTCGATCGGCTCCTATTTTGAATACTACTGTTAGCATTTCCAATAAAATTAAACAGTAAAATTGTAAAAACTCACAATATTATTCAACTTTTTTTAAACCCTTAAATTTGTTAATTTAATTAAATACCTCTAAATATTTTTTTAGAAATTACAAAAAAACCCCAACAACCATATTTACCAGATTCCGACCATCACCGTCGAAAAGTGGCCGGAATCTGGTATAATGATGCACTACCGATTGTTGACCGGTAGTGCGCCGATCTAGCCTTTTCCGGCTTGGATCTAGCCGGAAAAGGCCAGATCTTTGGCCGTAGTCAGTCGTCAACGACGGCCAACACATGGTTGTCGTTGACCATCAACAACGACCGTATCGTTGGCCGTTGTTGACGAGCAAATATGGCCAAATCTGGTCGTCAATGGCCAGATCTAGCTGTAGATCTGGCCTTTGTCGATTAGATCCATTATAGATCTGGCCAGAAAAGGCCATATCGACGCAAGACCGGCAAGATCCAGTCGGTCATGTGTCGATACGACGACTCTGACCACCCTCCGGCGGTGGTGGTCGGTTGTCCATGTGTTAGCGGGTGGGTTGGGGGTGTTTTTGTTAACTTTTAATATTTATTATAGGGGTTTTTAGTAAATAAACAAACATAGGGGGTGTTTAGTAAATAAATAAATATAGAGGATATTTTTATTTATTTTCAAATCCTACATCGTAATACTCGCCCAATTTAATTTTTTTAACTTTTTTTCAAAAACTTTTCTAAAAAGTGTAAAAAGGTAAACCAAACGGAGTTAATTTCTTAAAGCTCATTTACTATTCGCTAATGACAGATAATTTTTTGTGATTTCAAAATTTTAAAGAAATTTTTGTTAATATATCAATGGATAATATAAAGTATATGGTTTCAAGAACTAGAAGATAATCATTAATTCCCTATTTTTCGGACTAATAATGCTACATACATCGAAAATTGATATCAAAATTACATCAATATACGTGATACTTAACTCAAACGTCACCACGTAAGACACGAGGCTTTTGTGAATTGACGGCCTCCAACATTTTTCTATTCATCGTTTCGACATTATTCTTTTCATAAGTTGTTAATTAAAATACGTAGACAATTTAGTCGCGATTGGCCCACACGTCAATACGTTACTAATTGCTGAAATTAATTTAACTATTATATGCTTCGTGTGTGTATATATGTATATAATGCCTTTCTACTGATTATTTTACCGCACAAGAAAAGAGTCAAATGCTATAATTAATAGCTGAATCTCCAGGTATTAGTTAATATGGGACTTGGGAAGTGTTGTTATTGGATAGAGGTCATGAGATATTATGATAAAAAACAAAATAATTTTAAATTGAGCAAACGGCATGTTCCCACCCAAGGTTTAGCCAAATCCTAAGTTCATACCATTGGTTCTATTTATTCCATATTCCCACCCTTAAACTAACACTATAAGTTAATTTTAAATTTTGATTTGTGCAATTACCATCCTACCCTTCGTTCTTATTTCACCCCACCCAACCACCCTCACCCTCACCATCCAGCCACCACCACCACCCACGAAACCCGACCGCCGTTTAGGCCCAATTTGGCCTGATTCCGACGCCGATTGACCAACCCAACACCACCATTAGGATCCTTTCATCTCCTTCTTGAAAACCCCTCTCATCTCTGACTGTTTGCTGCCACCGTTCGTCGACCACCGCGCCCAATTTGTTCCCGTTCTGCAAGCAAAATTCCGACGGTTTTTCGACTCCAGAATCCCACCACTCACCACCATTAGCCTCTTCACTTCCTCCCTGAACAAAACCCCTACCAACATTGACCACCGTTGCTTCCCAATCACCGGCCACCACCCGTTGCAATTCACGACTAAACCACCAATCCAACCCGAAATCAATCCAACCCAAAAAACAACAAAAAAACTTCGAAAACAAGCATAACCAACCTCCAAATCAATCACACACCCACAAACTCCTTGTAAAATCCTGAATCAACCTCTAATTAAATCTAATTTTCACCAAAATCGCAAAACCCTAAGGGGAGTGACGAATGGCGAATGACGGGCAACCACGTTGGATTTGTTTGGGGCTTTTTGAGGTGGGATGTTGGTGAAGCTATTGGTTGTAACGGGATTGATTTCTAGCGCTGGGAGAGACCGAAATTTTGCTTACAGCACTCGAACAAATTGGGCGCAGTGGTCGACGAACGGTGGCAGCAAACAATTAGAGATGAGAGGGGTTTTCGAGAGGGAGATGAAAGGATCCTGATGGTGGTGTTGGGTTGGTCAATCGGCGTCGGAATCAGGCCAAATTGGGCCTGAACGGCGGTCAGGTTTCATGGGTGGTGGTGGTTGGATGGTGAGGGTGATGGTGGTTGGGTGGGTGGGGTGAAATAAGAACGAAGGGTAAGATAGTAATTGTACAAATCAAAATTTAAAATTAACTTACAGTGTTAGTTTAAGGGTGAGAAAGTGTTAGTTTAAGGGTGAGAATATGGAATAAATAGAACTAGTGGTATGAACTTGAGATTTGGCTAAACCTTGGGTGGGAACATGTCGTTTGCTCTTTTAAATTAATGTTAACATGCCAAGGAGAGAGGGAAAATGAATTCTAGCTACAACGTGCTAAAAACAAGGGTCCCACAATTACGTGAAGCTCACGCGGAGAAATAATTACCAGGCTTGACGACCAAAAACTAAGGTCCCACAATTACGTGAAGCTCATGCGAAGAAATAATTACTAGTCTTGACGACCAAAAAATAGGGTCCCAGTCCCACAAACGGAATCTCAAGCAGATTTATTATTATCAGACGTAAATAAAATTGAAAAAATCAAAAACCAGTAACATTAATTTGATTTACACTATTTTCCTCTTACATACTGAAAAATATTTTTTTGTTTCATGTTTGTTAAAGGTCATCCAATCAATTTAGTTTGTCGTTTTAATTATAAGAAAATAATCCTCATCTCATGTTTATCAAAAATTACAAATTGAACCATAGAAAAAATAAATAAATATCAATTTACTGATCAAGAAAATTATAATATCAATATTTAATCCTATATATACTAGAATTTCCAATAACATGCATGACAAATACCAAGAGAATTGTGTATGATGTTAGTGATTATCTCATGAAGTAGGATAAGATGGAGGTCTAAAAATCAATCCCTTCACATTAACTTGGATTGGACGAAATCAACTTTAACTTATGTGTGATATTTATAAGCTTAGTATTAATGGGTTTTAGTCGCAATTACTGTCTACAACATGTCAATTTTATTTTTATTAAATTTTATAAGATATGATGAAATTTTGTTGATGTAATTAATCTATACTTCGAATATTAAACGCTTAAATACTTGATAGTCTACTGACGCTTTCATTTCTTTTACTTTTCCGCGTGAGCTGAGTACAACAAATGCCACTGGACCTTTCCTTGAAGACTGGGTCATTACTAGGCTTCCAAATTTGTGGTCAATTTTTACCTCTCAAATGGCGTAGTCTCTGTGCTAAGATGACTGAACAAAATGACGAGTTAAGGCAGTCCAACTTGTGATTTGAGTTTCCGTAGCTCATAATTACTATTTGGCCTATTTTTATCTTTCCCGCGTGAGCGCAGAGAACGATCTGTGTGGTGGAATGGGGCCTCTCCTCTCTTCTAGAGACTGACTACGAGGATTTGGAGAAATTCTTTACATTTTGCCTCATGAAACGCAGCGCAAAACATCAAGAAATTGGAAAAAGAAAAAATTCTAAGTCAAGAAGAAGGTGACCCTCGTTCATCTTGTGGTTATGGGTTGGCTTTATCCAGTTTCCTTGAGTTTGGTAGGCAGCTTCTTCTCCAAGAGAAACAGTCTTTGTAACAAGCGTGGGGTAGGAGCCGACCACTTGTTTAATCCTCATTCAACCACTGACCTTGCATGAGCAAAGGACTACTAAATATAAGAGGTCGATTGTTGCTGTTGCATATAGAGAAATTACAGAGGAAAGTATCGTGGCATTCTGTGAACCCTCACGTATATAACACTGCACATTTGTTGGCATTGTCAAGACTCAACAACGGTATCTTATTTAACAAAAATGGCGATAAAAAATTTGAAGTATTATGATCATCCAATTAGAAGGTTTTAATTTTGTTTTCAAGGGTCTTTTTTATTTTCGTAGCTAGCTTTTATATTAGAATAATCGTTTTCACTACTATTTCTACTTTCATCACAAATGTAATTAAAAATATAATTATCACTATAAATTTATCTAAATGAAATAATTTTTTTTGTCATTTTATCACATCAAAAGCCTCAAATGTAAATTTAATTAAGTCCTACTACTATCTATTATATTTAAATTTTTGTAGTATACCAAATTTATTTGCTATTAATTAAGGGTACAGTTCTATAAATCAAAAATTGATTTTATGAACAAAGAGCAGGTGTATAAAATATACCATTCTCCTGTATATTTTAGAATTTTGAATTATTAATGAGATGTTTCTTCTAAAGTATTAAAGAAATTATTAATAAGATGTTATTAGTAAGAAATTGAGAATTTTAACTCAAAGGTGGTCTAAATCTAAAGCAGTTGCTTTACTTAGTCGTCACGAGTTTGCTAATAAGAAAATAAATTATTATATGTTTTATAATATATAAAACTAAAACAGAGTTTCCACTATCCAATCATGTTCGAAGTCAACCATTACTATAATTCTATTATCCGGTAAGCGGACACAAGATAGACAGGTCGCAATTCCTCTCGTTCACTATGTATACTTTTGTCCAAACCTGTTTTTGCTTAAATTATAACATGAACTGTACATCAAGCAGTAATGGTAACGCAAACCAAAATATAACCCTTACTAAATTATTCAAGTTATAATAGTAGGGCATATCCTTGATAGCTGCTTATTTATTGGGATAAATATATATACGACAGTTAACATTACAACAATGGGTCAAGGTTGTGCCCTCACAAACCACCAATTTTGATCCAAGAGGTCTTGATCGATCCTTAGACTAAGATGAATTAATGGTGCCCTATGCTACAGAGCAAGAGACACATACTAATAAACAACAAAATATCAAGGCACAACGTAGCATCATCCAACATTCATCTGGCATCAACATCAAATGCCACTGCCCGGGCTTTGATGCTGTCATACCCAGCAATTATAATTCTATCATCACCAGATCTACAAGCCCCAGACGTTCCAAAGAGAAAGGATTCTGTTTCTTCTGGAATCATTGCACTGTCCCACGGGTGTTTATGCATCATTCTCAATTCATGTAATTCCATGGCTACTTCCCTCATTCCAGGCCTCTCCTCCCCTTTCACGCTTAAGCACCTCTTCGCTAACTCCGCCATTTGCCTCAGCTGCTCCTTGTTCTCGTCGTTTACTATATGATTCTCAAGAATTTGAAATAAACGATTTTCTTCCATTGAAGAAAGGAAATACGTGACCAGACTTATCTGATCACCCTCAGACTTGTCAAATAAAACTGCCTTCTTTCCTGTCAGTAGCTCCACAAGCACAACCCCAAAGCTGTAGACATCACTTTTCTCTGTCAACTGCCCAGTCTGAAAGTATTCTGGGTCTAAGTACCCAAAAGTCCCTTGCACCATTGTGGATAGTTGAGTTACATTCATCGGGACCAACTTTGAAGCTCCAAAATCAGACATTTTTGCATTGTATTCATCGTCTAATAGTATGTTGGCAGACTTCACATCTCTATGGATAATTGTAGTAGAAGCTGAGTGCAAATGAGAGAGCACTCCTGCCGTTTCTGATGCAATTTTCAAACGTCTTTCCCCAGAAAGGCTGGTAGCCTTGTCTTTATTGTGGATGTGTTCAGAGAGGGTACCATTGCTGATAAACTCATAAACAAGTAAAGGGACTTCAGTTTCTAAACAACAACCCAACAGTCTCACCACATTTATATGGTTGATTTGTGAAAGCACGGCTATTTCGTTGATAAATTGCTCGATTTTGTTCTGATCCACAATTTTGGACTTCTTTATGGCAACTGGATTGTCTTTCGTTAAAAATCCTTTATATACCGTGCCATAGCCTCCTCGGCCAACTATTCTATCTTCAGAAAAGTTGCTGGTGGCCTTCTTGAGTTCTTCTTCCGTAAAGATTTTAAATTTAGCTTTATCAAACGATCCAGTTCGTTTAGAGAGTTCTTTTTGTAAAAGAAAACCCCCATTTTGCTGGAAGAACTTTTCTTTAAGTTTGATGTGCTTTCTTTTCTTCAAGACCAAGTACAGCCAAGGAATACTCACAAACAGGACCAAAAAGCTTACGCCAACACCTATTTGTAAAAGTACTTGAATCTTTTAATTTCTTTATGCGCATTGGATATAACAAAATGAAATAATAAAGTATAAACCACAACTAAAATTTAAGTTTCAATAATGTTAAACTTAAATATTTTTAATGTTAAGTGCCTAGGTGAACGCAGCACTAACCTGAGGCATGTAATTGGAACTTCGGTCAAATTTTATACCTTGTAAGTTGAAACATGCACTTATCTCAACAAATTTGAGGAACTTGACTAAATGAAAAACTGAAGTGAGACTAAACGAAAATTTTTAATTAAAAGAAATCAAAATCTTCTCTTTGTTCTGAAGAATAGAAGCACAGATTCCCCTCAACTGCAAAGTTCACAAACAAAAATTATAGGGCATCAAAACTACAAAAGAGCATACTATACTTACTAAGAGCAACCTTAATCACTGGAAATTGATTGGGTACATTGGGCACACAACGTGGTCCATGTTTTCCTCCGTCCGTTAAGTGATACCCTTTGTAGCAACTGCATGTATAGCTCCCTTCTGTGTTATCACACTTTTGCTCACAGTTATTGAGATTGGGTTCGTTGCATTCATTTATGTCTGCAATTGAATTTAGGAAAAGTGTGAAGCACATTGTGAAAAACTGCAGCTTACAATTAGAAAGTATAAACATAGTAAATGTGTTTATTGAATTGCCTTGGCAAATAGGGTTTTTCTTAAAATTAAGTAGAAATATTGGACTACCTTCGCAACCATTAGAGAGGTATGGATTCCCTTGGTAACCCTTCTTGCACTTGCAAAGATACCCAGAACCGTTGTCAGGTTCGTAACACTCGCTGTTTTCTTTACATGCGTAATACGGTTTGCTGCTTGCTTCCGTACAGTTGCCTTCCCCAGTTACTGTCCATTCAAGCACAACAGGAAGCTCTTTCGGTAACGTATCAAGATAGCTCCGCTTGAATGTGAAGCTACTTTTGTCAACAACGAACGCATAGGTGCATGGATTGAAGTCGGATACATTTACATGGTTGTTAAAGCTATAAGCTGTGATGTTGATTTCCGATAACCCTCTAGGAATTTCTATCTGGCAACACCCAGAGCCGATGCAAGAGCCGTCTTTGACATACTTAGAACTGTCACATAAGGACATGCATCCGGAGCTGTATCTTTGGTCGTCTATGTAACCTTGAATGTAAGCATAACTGTCACAGCCAATGACTGTGAATACATTTTTGGTGCTAGAGATGGTTAAATCAGACAAAGTCAATGTGGGCTGATTTTGGTCCTCAGATTCGTTCTTTCTGAAGCAATCTCGTGCTACGAAGTTGGGGATCTGCAACTCACCGTCGATGCTTATATTGGTAAAATCGATATTTGAATCCCTCAAATATGGTTTGGGAGGATTGAAAGAGTTGTTACAAGTGATGCGGAAATTCTCATTTCGGAAACAGTCAGGGCTTGTACCGAATGGATATGGGATTGCAACGTTTCCACAGTAACCCGGGCAGCCAGACTTGGCAAGAGTTATTGCTAATGTTTTAGTAGCTACAGCTACTAGCACCGACGCCATTGCCGCCACCACAAAGTCTTTCAAGCCCATTGCTACTCATATGATGAGTGAAGCTAGTGCTTTACAATTAAATACTCTGATGATCTATTCGAGGCGTCAAACTCTTCCCTGTGGTGTTTCTTCTAGAGTCTAACTGTTTTTTCACATTAGAAAGTGACGGGCAACAATAATATACCTACACGTGTATCTCACATCAATACCAGCTAAAGATGTAGGCAAGCGAGGCGATTGCATCAAGATTTGGCTACGCTGTATTACACGCAGCGCCGGCCGAAGGGATTGGCTACTGTCTAGTGATCAATTGAAGTATGTCACAGACTCACAGTGTCACAAGCAGTGCCGGCTGAAATTGCCTTACGCCTCTCTTGAATCAATGTCCTGTTTAATAACATTAACATGTATTGTTTTGTTTGACGTTATTTAATTGGATATTTATTCTTTCCAATAAGGTTTCTCATTACATGAAGATTTTTATTTAATGAAACTTTAATATTTTCAATCTAATCTATTAAAAGTAAAATTTTATATTTACAAATTACACATCTAATGTTCGAACTTATAAATAAATTTAGTTAACCATTATTTTGTAAATTTTATTTCTTTTTCTCAAGACTCAAATTAAAAGTTAATTCATTATTTCAGTATTTTTCTTATTTACTCCCTTAACATTGATTCTTTTATTTTAATTTTTTGAATGTATGAAAAAACTATGAATTAGAAAAGGAAATTAGTTCAACCTCACTATCATGTTATGATTGAAAGTCCTTTAAAATTCAATATATTTTTTTTCTAATTACATGACAAGGAAGTTACAAGCCGAAACAAAAGAGTCAAAGACAAACTTAAAATAACCTACATTATGTAACCCTTACTACATTATTATACAAACCATTCAAATTAAAATAGTAAGGCAATTCCTAGGTGGCTGCTTATTGTTTTGGTATAATATACTACAGCACATTAGCACAAGGATAAGGTTGACCCTTCACTAACCACCCTTCAAGTATGATCCAAGAGCTCTTGATCCACCCTTAGACCAAGATGCAATGGTGGTGAGTGAAGGCCCTATACCACATGGCAAGAGTCACATAATAATTAAACAACACCATAAACACCATGCTACGATCATATGCCGTCAACATCAAAGGCCAGTGCCTGGCCTGTGATGCTGTCATACCCAGCGGTCATACTGCTATCATCACCTGATTTGTAAGCCTCAGAGGTTCCACAGAGCAAGGATTCTGTTTCTTCTGGATTCACAGCATTGTCCCAGGGGCCTTTAAGCATCATTCTCAATTCCTCTAATTCCATAGCTCTACTTCAGCTCAGCTTACCGCCTTTCATTAATATTGTTTTAGTTAAATGTAACTACAGTTAACTGAACTAGTGGAGTTAGTTAGTGGAGTTGGTTAGTTGAATTAGTAGACTTACTTTACTAAAAGTAATTGTACAGAACCGTGCGAAGTAATTGTTCTTCTTTTCTCCTTTCTACGTTTTTCTTCTCTGTCAAAACCTTTTAAAGAATTTGAAATAAACGATTTTCTTCCATTGAAGAAAGGAAATACGTGACCAGACTTCTCTCGTCCTCCGGCCTGTCAAGTAAAAGCGCCTTCTTTCCTGTCAGCAACTCCACAAGCACAACCCTAAAGCTGTAGACATCACTTTTCTCTGTCAACTCCCCAGTCTGAAAGTATTCTGGGTCTAAGTACCCAAAAGTCCCTTGCGCCATTGTGTATAATTGAGTTACATTCATCGGAACCAACTTTGAAGCTCCAAAATCAGACATTTTTGCATTTTATTCATCGTCTAATAGTATGTTGGCAGACTTCACGTCTCTATGGATAATTGGAGTAGAAGCTGAATGCAAATGAGAGATCACTTCTGCAGTTTCTGCTGCAACTTTCAGACGTCTTTCCCTAGAAAGGCGGGTAGCCTTGTCTTTATTGTGGATGTGTTCAGAAAGGGTACCATTGCTGATAAATTCATAAACAAGTAAAGGGACTTCAGTTTCTAAACAACAACCCAACAGTCTCACCACATTTATATGGTCGATTTGTGAAAGCACGGCTATTTCGTTGATAAATTGCTCGATTTTGTTCTGACCCACAATTTTGGACTTCTTTATGGCAACTGGATTGTCTTTCGTTAAAAACCCTTTATATACTGTGCCATAGCCTCCTCGGCCAACTATTCTATCTTCAGAAAAATTGTTGGTGGCCTTCTTGAGTTCTTCTTCCATAAAGATTTTAAATTTAGCTTTATCAAACGATCCAGTGATTCGTTTAGAGAGTTCTCGTTGCAAAAGAAAACCTCCATTTTGCTGGAAGAACTTTTCTTTACGTATGATGAGCTTTCTTTTCTTCAACACCAAGTACAGCCAAGAGATACTCACAAGCAGAGCCACAAAGCTTATGCCAACACCTATTTGTAAAAGCATTTCA